TGGTCTCCTTTGCCTTCTGTGCAGGATTGCTGAGATGGTGCATTTTGCAGAGCACTACCCAAGTCCTGTTGTATTTTCTTTTTACTTGGTTTTCCATTGTGACGTTTCCTGTATTTTTATATTCATTACTTCCTCACTGTTTTTCAAACATGTTTCATTTTGCTTATTTTTTCTGTTCTGCGCCCCTATCTCTGCTGACGATGTTTGACTCCTTTTTTCCTGCTGCTGGGAGTAGTGCTAGGCACCCTCTGGTACTTTACCCAAGTGGCTATTCTTCATGCGCGAGCCGTGATAGTGAGTGTCGGCAGGATATTTGAAGGGGAGGAGACGTATCATAGATGAGTCTAATCCTAGCTTCACATGACACCCATGTACATGCAGGTGGAACTAGTTGGCAGCAGTCAGGAGCAGGCATGCTGGCTGATTTCCTCAACATAATTGTAGCACCGCTTGGGGTTGTTCTGGTTGAAATGAGCAAACTCAGCAGAAGCTGGGCCTCAAGCCTTTGACCATCCCTGTCTGTGTAGCTCAGACACTCACTCGGTAAGCTTGCTGAGCCATTGGATGAGTCTACATCAGGAAATGATGACGTACTGATTCAGTTCAGCACTTCAGGTGAAGATTGAAAAATTTGATAAACAGAAGCAGAATCAGGAAATTAACTATAAAATCGTCTGAGTTGTGCTCGTAGTCCTGAGCTAGCCATGCTCAGGCATGTAGGTGCCTGTACATACATAATTAACCCATGAAAAAGTTACAGAAACAACTATAATTATTTCAGTTCATCGGTGGTTCACTAGATAATTACGAACAACTGATAATTTCACTATGGTTAGCCAACTCGCATTTTAGCCTCATGTTCCCATATTGATCTGAATATAAGGGATGACCTCCCCATTTCCATAATTATATTTGAGGGGAAAAAAATACAAATGTAGTATAGCAAATATCGAGGAGCAAAAACATCTTCTGTGTAGCTTTAGAATATTGCGCTAGATTACGATTATTCAAATAATAGTGTTTTTGAAATTTTAGAATGAAGTTTTCTCCATGGCTGTTGTAACATCACATTGTGTCAGATCTTTCCTCTCTCTCTCTCTCTCCCTCTCTTTCACTCTTTGTCTTATACACTTTCCCTTTCTCTCTCTCTTTCCGAGTCTCTCTCTTCTCTTTCTCTCTTTGTGTGGCCAGCAAATGAATCCAGTTGCATGCTTGTGCATAAATTGTGTAGATGTACGCAATGTTATTAAAGATGCTATTGACCCACACTGTGAAGGGAAATAACATCCTTAGCAACCTCATGCATGCAATTTCACAATTCTCCCACGTGGACTAAACTGAATGTTTTGCAGCTAGATTTTGATTTTGATTTCTCTGAATATACTATAAGTTGCTTACTCACTATATAATAAGGCATCACCTTATGCTGTATACAATACAGTATTTGGCAGAACAAAATAAAACTGTTTGACCTGTAGATTAACATTAACATTAGTTTGACCTATGTCAAGGGCAAATTGTACTGCCAAATAATATGCACTGTAGTTACGGTAGCACATCATCCAGATCTCACCGTAGGAGGAAGGGTTTAACATAAGGTTATTTACTTCAACACTAATGAGGCTGCGCAGGTCGAGGGAAACTTGGATATTGATGTAGAGTAAACTCACAGATCGTCATTTCCCCATGTACAAATCTGAAATACTCGTCAGTACCATTGCCTTGCCAAGTATACAAAAGAGGTGGCAGCCCTGAGGATTTTTCCAATATTGTGTTAGGCGTAGAACAGCAGTTCTTATGCCAGCTCATTGTCATTAGTGTATAGACTGAGTGTGTGACTGGTGCATTGTAAGCTGATCTGTCAAGCTTAACAAACAGCCCACCTTGTTAACATTCCTTAAATCCTGCATTAATAACCCAAAGCAAATCCCTGAACGCACTCACTAGACTTTCTCTTTGTTGTTGCCATGATGGATGAGGTTAGGTAGCACCCTGGAAAATAACCCCGCCACTCCCTCCGCCAAACACAAGAAGAAAAAATTCCTTAGTTTTATTGATATTACTTTTTTGTCTCCTTCCCAAAGGAGGGAGAGAAAAAAAAACTCTGATTTTATAGCTATTTATTAGAGGATGCATTTGCAATTGAGCACATTACAGAAAGTAAAACGTGGCTGGAATATTCTGTTTCGGTTATTTTCACACCAATTTACTGCCATGTAAAGAGTTATGGCCTATTGGACATGAAGACAACAACAACTTGCATTTATATAGTGCCCTTCGCACAGGATAGGCTCAGACTGCTTAACAGTGGCAGAGTTGGGGAGTAGGTGACCGTAAGCCCAGTTGAAGGGGAAGATATTCAGGCATGATCTGAAAGTGGGGAAGGAGGAGATAAGGCAGAGGGATTGAGGGAGAGAGTTCCAATGTTTCAGGGCGTAGTGGCTGAAAGCATGGCTGCTGAGTGGAGACAACAGGTGATGGAGTGGGGAATAAGCAGGTCAGAGAGGTAGGAAAATTTTAGGGCTTGAAGGGTTTTACAGATGAGTGTGAGGATCTCAAAGTCATTCCGTTCTGAAATTTGGAGCCAGTGGAGCCTTTCGAGGACTGTGATGGGGTACAGAGTTTAGAGCGGGTGAACATAAGGGCAGAGGAGTTTTGAATTAGTTGGATTTTGTGAATAGTGGAGCTGTGGAGACTGGCGAGGGGGACATTGGAATAGTTGAGTTGGGAGGTGATCAAAGAGTGGACAAAGGACTATAGTATATATATTGGAAGAAAATGTTCTTTAGTAACCTCTGAGAATGCATGATGTGGCTGTGCACTTTGCAAAATTCTCACCCCGAAGGCAAATTAATTTGCTTTACTGTTGCACACTGGACAAAATGGCTTAATACCTGCAACTTGAAATACAGCATTAGAGTTGCAACTGTGACATTCGCTAACTGGTAGTCACTTTGTTTTGCACCTGAAATTGCTTCCAAATCGCTTTTTTTTAAAAAAAGGTCTAAAATGCTGACTTGCAGACAACATTTTGCTTTCTGACCTTTTTCCTGAACTTCTCTCAACCACCAAATGGTCTGAAAGTAAACCACTGGTGGAGATTGCGATCACAGCTTATTTTGCTCTCAGGCATCTTCACCAGTTAGAAAGTCTGTCAAAAGGTGAGAAAACAAAACACCAGCTACAAATCATCCTTCTTTGCCCTTTGAAATCCTTTTAGCGAAATTGTCAATGAATTTGGTAGAGAATTTCAGGCCCAAAGTAATAGTCACAATCAGTTCAGCAATGTATAACCCAAAACTTTCAACCGCCCCCTACAAACATACATTTTCTAAGGTGACATAGTTGCATTATAGTAATCTTAGAGCATGGTACTTGCCACCCAACTAATTGGGGCTTTGTGTAGGCTTGAGGACATATCTACACCTTAAAATCTGCCTAGCCTTGGATTCATGTGGATGATTAGCAATCACATTTATATTCAACAACTGCTGAGAATACATTCTGTTACAAAATATTTATGGTGGTGATGGTGATAGATTTTCTCAAAAGAGAATATATTAAAGGATATGGGAAGTGAGCATGGAGAGTGGTATTAGATAGATTCACATGGGGGGTGGGTGGAGCGGGGGAGGGAATGGGTCTGATTCAATGCTGTGACACTCTGATTCTGAATCCCCAAATATATTATAGTCATAGTCCCTTTCATGTCTAGAAGAAGTCTCAAAGCACTTCACAGGATTCACTGTCAAGTGTAGTGACTGTGTAGTGTAATCTTTACAAAATATACTGAATCTAAATTGTTTTGGGGGTGAGACAAGAGAAATCATTTGATTCACAAATACTGAAATATCTAACTCTACAACTTGTTTTACAGCAACACCATTTCCTTGAGTCAGGCTGCTTCCATCATACCATCTTCAGCAACTATCCACATCAGCGCCAAAGCAACAATCTTTATATGAAGTTAAACCAAGTCTTAAAAGTTTATTGCAATAATTGGGATTAGTCCAAAAAGTTTATAATTTATTTCAATTTCAAGGTTTCTGCTGTTCCCCACAGTCATGTTAGTTTGAAGTCCCAATAACATAGAATTGTTAATTTGCTCATGTTGTTACTTGTTTTGTATTTGAAGCTTGTATTTTTGTTTTAACTTTTTTCTCTCAGTAACCCTTTTTATTCTCTTTTGGGTTCAGAATGTTTAATGTCACTGCGTGAAAATATAACAACAGAGTCCCCCATGTTATAAATATATCAAGCTGCAGATCATCCCAAATTCTGCAGCTCGTGACCTCTCACGCACCAGACTCCGTGACCCCATCACTCCCACCCTCGCCCGACTTCACTGGCTCCCCATCCCCCAGAGGATCGAGTTCAAGATCCTCGTCCTCACCTTTAAGGCCATGCATGGCCTTGCCCCCTCCTACCTCTCTGACCTGCTGACTCCCTACCAACCTGCCCGCACTCTCCGTTCATTGGGCTCTGGTCTGCTCCATGTCTCCCGCCCGACCCACCCTACCATCGGTGGCCGGGCTTTCAGTCTCTCTGCCCCCACACTCTGGAACTCCATCCTACGGTCCCTTCACCTCGCTTCCTCCCTTGCCTCCTTCAAGACTGGTCTCAAGACCCTTCTCTTCGACCGTGCCTTTGGTCTCCCTCCTACCTCTGCCTTCCCTCACCCCTACACCACCCCCCCACCCCCCACCCCCCCCATGCTCGGGCCCCGACATCTGACTGTTCAGCGCTTTGGGACATCCTCCTGATGTGAAAGGTGCTCTATAAATGTAATTTTGTTGTTATATAGTACCTTTCAAGTCGGGAGGAAATCTCAAGGTAGTTGGCACTGCTGGTTGGGCACGCCGGCTGAGTGTGAGAGGTGGGGAAAGAGAAATTTGACCAAAAGTGTGGTCATTGGGGTAAAACTTGAGTGAAGTATGCTGTGGGTTGTACACCAATATGTTTTGAATCAAGGTTGCTATCTTATCCATGTTTTTTGACAGACCATTCTGATGGAGAATGAAGAACTACCGAAGATATATCTAGATTTTCTTAACATTCGTCATCTTCCGTCTTTACCAAAAGTGGAAAGTTGTTGGTAAGTTGACCATTTGTTTTAGTTTAAAACTCATTTATTTATAGAATGTAGCTCAATTGGTTGCACTCTCACTTTTGGGTCAAACATTGTGGGTTCAGTTCCTGCGAGGGGTCTTTCAGCTCATAATCTAGGCTAACATTCCAAGTGCAGTGCTGGGGAGAGCTATATTGTTGAAGGTGCTGGTTCAGGTGGACATTAAAGAACCCATATCACTATTTGAAAAGAAAATTGAATTTCTTCCCAGTCAGTCATCCATTTAAATTTGTTATTCACCTCCTGGCCTATTTGTGGGACATTGCTGTATCCAAATTGTCAACTGCATTCACCTACAAATACAGTCATTACACTTCAATAACTAGTATGAAGCACTTTGAAATGTTTCACAGTAAGACATGTAATATCACATGCAAGGATTATTGTTTTTGTTAAAAAGCACAGTAAGACGTATTTTCCCCCTTATTTGTTCGTAGATATCTTGGAAAAGTGAAACATTGGCAAGCGCACGTGGCAGAAAAGCCAATCAATGCCAAGCTGTTATCAAATTTCAAATCCAAACAAGATAAGAGTTAAACCTCTTTAACAATTAACAATGAGCATTCAAGGTACAGACATTTAGACATCAATTATCCCCATATCCATAGATCAATCTGAAGTGCTCTGGAAGAATAAGGAGCACTACACGGGATAGCGGTGTAAGAGAAGCTACAGAAGCTGGAGAGATTACCTGAAAGTAGGAAAATAGGAGGGTAAACCTCCCCATCCCATTGCAAGGGAAAGGGTAATCCCTTTGTTTAAAAAATACAAACCCTTCCCGCTGGGGAATGGGATGAGGAAGGAAAATCCACTTGGTGGATCGAACAGCATAGGAGATGGGAGGACTGTGACATTGAGGTAAGAAAACTCATTTGTCATTTGTGTCCCTATTGGGGAGTGGGGAGGGGAGGGTGAAGAGAGGTGGCTTTTTCAACTCTGACACTATATTCTCTTCAGTATCACCTCACTATATTTACTAACAGATTTTGCAACTTGTGCAGCTAGAAGGAGAGAGAGGGGGCAGAAGATAGACTGATCAGAAGGGAGGAAGTAGCTTGAGGTTGTATCTGTTCCTCAGGCTGTCAGACATAAAGTGAGATTGGTGTGAAATACCTGCCAAGAGGGGCTCCCACATGGCACTTGCATGATTCTGGTGCTGGGCAGCTGAACCTGTAGTTATACTACAGTGGATTGTGTTAGTTCAGTTTGAGAAAATCGCATCAAATTGGCACCAACTGTGCAGTAAAACGTGTGCACCGGCTAGTGACTGTAGGAAGGATTGGACGCTGCAAGTTTTACACTCAGTATTTCTAAATGGAGTGGAATGTCTATCTTGATGTACTGCTGTTGAAGTTTTTGACCAGCGCTATGACAAGATGGGTTCATTCATCATCTCAGCTGAAGGCAGTAAAATGTCTCCTAGCTAATGTTTATATCCCACTTTGGCTTCATTCCCTTTTCCAATGGTATTTCTAGTTACTTTACATTAAGACCTTTCATTCATTTTTGCGTCTTTCGCATAAGTGAACATCTCAAAGAGCTTCGTAAAATGAAAATAATTTAAAATGAAATGAAACAAGACTTGGGAATAAACCTCTGATTATTGGCAGTGATTGGAACACAATTACTTGGTTCTGATGGATCAAATCATTCATAGTCCCTCTTCCCCTGCCTCCCAACTCAAAGACAGAGAATCAATCCTGATGGGTAGTGGGAGTGATCTAAAGAAAAAGCAAATAAACCACTTCTTAGTTACTTCCGATTAGATGTGACTATAATTTCTTAGTCTCTATTTTACAATGGGTGTGATTGACATAAATGTTTGAGAGCACGGCCCACTGTGGGTAAGCATTTTGCCTTTTTTTCTTCTGCGTGGGGATTTAATAATTGTCTTCATAGAAAAAGGAGCAGGGTGGAGCAGTAGAAATCACCAGTTATGCTCCTTGGCTATAAATATTCAGTTTGGCTTGCTCTTGCTATTTTGGCGGTGGAGAGGGATAGAGTGGTTGAACTGTCAAAGGCAGCAAAGAGGTCAAGGAGGATGAGGAGACAGAGGGAGCCCTGGTCACAGATGGACAGAATGTCATTTTATCACTTTGACCAAGGCTGTTTCTGTGTTGTGGAAACCCACTTGGAGGGGTTCATAGAGGGAGTCCAGGAGAGGAAGGAGCAAAGCTAGGAAGCTATGACTCATTCCAGGACCTTGGAAAGGAAAGGGAGGTTGGAGTTGGGGTGGATTGACAGTCCTCTTGTCAAAAGACATTTTGAATTGGAGAGGGTATATAATAATTATTACTATTAATGATTAAAAGGCACTTCATTATAATGTCAGGGTGTGGACCCTAAGACATATTTACCCCAAATATCTAAAATGCATACGCTGGCTCCATTGGTGCTTCAAACACTAGCTTCAAATGGCTGACTTCCAGATCATCAGGTTGCCGCTGATGTCATTTTTCCTGGGTGTTGCAGGAAGTGGTCGAGAAGTTAGCCATTTGGGCTTCCACTGGCTAGCTATTTCCAGCCGGCTTTATGTGCTCATGAGCAGTGAATGTAGAAGTGCTCATCAGCAATCGCACCCCATCATTGTGCTGTAACTACCTAACTACCTACCGTATTATATGGGACTCCAGTGTATAAAATCATACATTCGAATAATTATTTTTGTTATAGCTCCATTGACGACTATGAATCTCAAGAGTTCAGGTAAGACATTGATCAGAATTTCAAGGATCACAACTCATTTAATAAATTGTATTTACTTTCTTACAGCTACCGTTTAGAGTTTATTTGCAACCAATATTATCAGTATTTTCTTTATTAAAAATTGACATTTTTGAATCTATCCATTTGCTGGTATGATAGGTGTGGCTCTCCTATGGTTCAATTAGGTGGATTGGACAGAAACCATCAGTATGATGTGTACCTCCATTGAAGCAAACAGGACATTTAGACCTATAGTTAAAGAAATAGAGCATAAGTCACACAGGCCGTGATAACAAATCTTTAACATTTCTCATGCCTTAGCCTTTAGACAGTTGTCTTGAAATTTGTAGTGACCCAAAAGTTAGGAAAATTCTTATATTCAGTCTTAAAAAGAATTTCAAGCCACTGGGGTACTGACTACTGGTCCCAGTTTTACAATAAGGACATTTTGGCATTGAAGGGATGCAGTGTAGGTGGCGTACACATGTGGAACTCTGTATGGTTTGGGTATTTTTAAGCTTGGTGTTACTTTTCCGCATGTGTCAGCCACTTGGCTGACAAAAAAGAGAGAGCTGTAAATGTTCACACTAAATAGGTGGCTCAAGCAAGATCTTGTTGAAATATTCAAGACTTAAAGGGCCTAGAGAATCAAAACCTTAATTGTTTTTAACATAGTCAAACATTTAGATCAATCTCAGAAGAGGTAATGTGAACAGGCACTTTGGTTTAATTTTTCAGCATGGTGAATATGACGAATAGATTACAGATTGAGTCAACCAATTCAACAAAGAATTGGAAACTAAGTGGCCAAGAATTCATTTGAACAGTAAGAGAAGTAAGATATTGTAGGATTGTTTTATTACATTTCTTTTAACTTTAACTTTACTATGTTCTTAGGCTTTTATATTGAAGCAAATACAGTAATAATGTTATTGAAGCAGCATTACAAGAGGTAGCATTTTTCAAATCGGAGACCTCCATGCTTATGGTAGAACGCAAAGATTGCTGCAGCTTAATTCAAAGAGTTATGAATACATTTTAATTTCAGCAACTCTGACAGTCAAGATATTCACAAATATGCCATCATATTCACCCTCAAGAACCACAAGCTATTAAGGTCGCTGAAGGTGCAGGCAAACACATTACCCGACTAGATGTTTGGCATCTTGTAGATGTGTAATTTGTGCTATCATTTATTATAAAATCTGGGGATATTTAGCAAAAGCATCTCTAGATTTTTCTTTCTTGATGTAATTGTTTGCCTTCCAACAATTAACGTTTTAATCTCCTAGCCTTAGAATTTTAGTCTCTGAATTAGAAACCAATTAACAAGTAAATGTTGCCAAAAGAGAATATAAAGGTATCTCCTTAGTATTTTGTCTAGTAAGTATTTTGGAGGAGGGGAAGGGGGAATCTACCAAAGCTTTAGTTCTGCAATGGAGAAGAGGGGGGCTACAATGTTGCAGGTCCTGTCTTTTTGATTAGTTGTTAAACAGTGGTCATATCTGCCTGGTCTTCAGGCATAGGTTAAAAATTCCATATACAAAAGAGAAAGGAGTTCTGGCCAACAATCCTCAGATTATTTGCTGTTTGTTGCATCCTGCTGGCACAAATGTCTGCTGGCAAACAACAGTCACTACTCTTAACAATAATTACCCGTGGCTTGCTTTAAAAGGTTTACCTTGATAAAGCACTGTAAAAATTAAGTTATTTTTTTCAAGTTGAAAACTGTCATCTAATAATCTAATAGAAGGATATTTCCTATCAACATACTTTGACTAGTACATGCTTTCTGAGCGTGTATTACCTGTGTCTTGGTGCATCAGACTAAATCCAAGCTTATCCTCCTACATTAACTCATCTACTAGAGAAAGAATAAACACAACAGAAAAGTATAGAGAAAAGCTGCAGCAAAGGCTTGGAATTACTCTAGTGGGGACTTTTGAAAGGGATATGGAGCATTTGAAATTGTCCAAAAAAGCAGAAATCAGTACGAAGAGTTTATTTTTGGTTATTTTAAAATACAATATGCCTTTTCAATATTTTTGATTTTTTTGAATATTTGTAATTGTGGCTTTGAAATTTCATTGAGCGATTTTTAAAAAAAAAAATCTTGGAGTAGCAAGATATCAATTACATTTGGTGGGACATCCAAAACGATGTGTTTTTAAAAAATAAAAATGACCTAACTGTGTATCTAAATATTTCAGAGATTTGAAGAAATTGAAAAATTGGTCTTGGTGTTAAAGATAATTCTTAAAGTCATTATCAAGTTAAATTAAATTAGCAGAATAATTGATGCTGCTTATTGCTTTAGTTTGTATTGTGATCAGATTAATTGGTAATATCAAGGCAAAATATACAAAATATTGGTATATTTTATCATATCAATAAAAATGGAACTGGAGATAAAATGTGCCTATGTTCAATGTACTTTTATTGTTGCACAACTAAAATAATATTGTACTTGAAATTTTTTTAGCCCAGTATATGATGCATTATTTTACTGTTCCTGGATACTGATATTCCTGTCCTTGACCTTTCCAGCAAACTATCCCACCAGCCCGTGCTGCTTTTCCTGAGGGATCCATACATCTTGTCTACAGCCATCGGTAATCAAACCTGTCATCTGTTAACAGCTCTTTACTGTTTCAACCCTTAACCCAGTAAATCAGTGCGAAAATCAGAACGAAAATTAACATCAATAAGATTAAGATTTGGTTAGAAAAGTTCTAAACTTGATTCCACCCTCCCCCCATCCCCCAATTAAACTGCCCTGAAGAATTTGTTAAAAGTTTTGCCAAGTCTTTAACAAATACCAGTTGTACATTAGTTTGAGGTTCACACTGACACCACTGATCATGGGCTTGACTTCTGTATTGCACATTTTAATAATAATAATAATCCTTGCATTTGATATCGCGCTTTTCACGTCTTCTTGACGTCCCAAAGCGCTTCACAGAATATACTGTGAAGTGAATTGACTGTATATTTGTGGGCGAACGCAGCAGCCAATTGCGCACAGCAGTGTCCCACAAACAGTCGTAGATTGAAATTGACCAATTTATTATTGTTTTTGGTTTTGGAGGGATTATTATTAGGCGTGTGGAGTAAGGAAACTTGCCCAAGGTTTCGCCCTGCCTGGAATTGAACTCAGGTCTCTCGCTTGCAAAGCGATTGCTCTAACCACTGAGCTACAGGACTCCACATTTTAAGAGCGCTGGTTGGTTCAAATGGAGTCTTCCTGGAGCTGAACTGGTTCCAAGGTGACATGCCTGGCAATGGAATGTCCTGGAGGGGCGCTTGGGCTCTGTCAAGTCTCCTGAGACAATTGACTTTTGCTGAAGGATGAGACGTTTTCACTTTCTCTGAGCACGAGAGCATAAGGAGTGGTTTCACTCCAGAATTTTCTCAAATCTCAGCAGGAGATCCAGACTGAGTGGTTTGATGTGTGAAATTCCAGGATTAATTCTCTCACTTGTTTCCAGACCGCAGGCACAGCCAGACTTTATCTGGGGAGAGCAAGGATTAGGTGCATTTCAATTGCTTTTCCCAGTTAGACTATAACAAACTATAGCTTTAGAGAGCAACACTAACAAGTAGACTCTATAGTGTTGCTGAGACATTCAAAGGTTCTTGTTCACACAGTGACTAGTTACTCGTTTGTCATCTTCCAAGCTCAGCTAAAATATGGCACTTACCCTGTTCAGGAACAATCTCCAATTAGTTCTCCGAAGAAGTTGAATAAACTGTACACTTCTGCTGAGAGATTTTACCATTAGGGGCCCCTTAAGATGTGTACGGTATGCTGCTCTGCACTCATTAAAACTTTTAATGCATCTGAAATTGGCCTGTGTTGAACACTGCCTTATTTAGAGGTAGACAAAAGGTTGGAGCCAAGAGTAAAACATTTTGTTGTAAAAGTTTGTTCCCAGAAGCCTACATTTCAAGTAACCTTAACTTTAAAGTAAAGGTTTAGTTTATTTCAACCCTGATCTGAGATGCTGTCTTGAATTTATATAACTACAATCCTTGAGCTCAGTTCAGGCTGGCACTGTGCTGCCTTTTGGATGAGATTCGACCTCCCTGCTTCCCCCCATGCCCTCCCCCACCCCGACCCTCAGCTCGGGTCCGTAACTGATTCTGTCCAGTGCCTTGAGACGTCCTCCCGATGTGAAAGGCACTATACAAATGTAATTTTGCTGCTGTTCTTGTAGCTGTTTTGGGGAAATGATGGTGCAAATGGCTGCCACATTCTCCCACGAATTGTAATTGCATGTGAAATGCTTTGAGACAAAATTTATGTAAGGCTTAACAAAAATGCACATTCTTTATTTTTGATTATAGTTGTTATACTAGGATCTCACCTTCCTTTCTCTTATTATCTTAGATGACTTCTCAAATGTAGTTATTGAAGGGGTTCTACAAGGAATATATTACCCGTGTCTTCAGCCAAGGTAGAGCAATTTCTACAAGCAAAAGACACTTCAAGAGCCCTGAACCAACAGACTAATCAGTAACAAATATTAGAGTTGCACATTTTTTAAGAAACTGTTCCAATTGACTTTCTCAATGGAATATGCATTATTTGAAACTTAATATGCTAATTGTTTTTAACTTTTACATAGTTCAGAACACATTAAGTTCAATAAATGTGGGTACGTCAGTGTTAATCATTATTAATTTGAACATAAAATTTAAATCATGTTCTGTAAATTGTAAAGTCAAGACCATTGCTTCATTGTTGAATGAAGAGTCTTTCGATTTTGTCTCAATTTTTCTGTTGAAAAAAGTTAGTTATTGCAACGTCATAAATCAAGATTTCTGCTAGAAATATTTGTTGCACTTAATTATGTGGAAATTAAACAATATTTATCTGTAGGCAATGAATCATGCAGAAGCCCATTATAGTCATGTTTGAAATCTTGTTAACAGTATTGAATAAGTAAAGCACATCATCTGGTTTAAAAATATATGTTGTAATCACTGCATTTAATAACATTTGAAACATTCAAGACTTGTTGACTTATTTTTCATGCAGTTACATTTTAAAAACAGTCTTATACAGTGGGGGGGAGGGCATATTGAGAATAACTTCTAAATTCATACAATTTTATGTCACATTAGCTAAATTTAGGCTTAAATTTGTTTAAGATGTTGGTAAATTAGCTGGCTCAACAGTTTAAATAATCAACAAAATTTGTTTCATTTCAATACAAATGTACACCTTGAACCAACTCAAATTCTGTAACTTTATTAAAAGTCAGCAGAATTCCTGTCTCTGTAATGTCTCAGTGGGTATTGTCCTGCACCATGTCCCCGCCTTGCCTTCTCCACCATCAGCAAATCAGGCCTTCAGCCTTCCTGCCTCCATCCTCTGAAACTCCATCCTCTGAAACTCCATCCCAGAGCCCCTCAGTCTCGTTCACTCACTTTCCTCCTCTCAAGACTTTCCTCTTCGAACGTATCTTTAGTCATCTTTTCCACCCTCCCACCCCTCTTGACTCCAACCCCAAGCTTGGGTGCAAACCCTGCAATGTTCAGCGCCTTGGGACATCCTCCTGACTTGAAAGGCGCTATAATAAATGCAATTTGTTGTTGTTGTCAAAAGATTAAGTAACCTTTGGGCACCAGTTAGCAGAGTTGCTTGTGTAGATGCAACAAATCCACGATGAGAATGAAACGGATCCAGTAGCACTTACTTCAGTTTGCTGGTTTGCATTGTTTTACTTACTTAGGCTGTGAGTCAAATGCTTGTAATATCACTGCCCCTAAATGATGCTGGGTGAGGCAGGACATTTCAGTTGAAGGTCTTCCTTTGTTCTATAATGACCCCACTTAAATAGACTTAACAGAAAAGTTATGCTGTAACTTTCTAAGATTTAAACCTTAGCTTTAAAAATAGTTATAGGTCATTGGAATTCCATTGCCAGTCACATTTGTATCTGTCAAAGGAGCTAAAGGAATTTTCTGAAACTAATTGATCCAATTTCCTCGTGTTGAATTAATGTTGTTTGCATTATTAAGTTGTTCATGTAACTGTTTAGCGTTTATAGATATTTATACAGGTTGGACACATACGCGCAGATATAATTTCTTGCAACACCTATATTTGGAATTTCCCTTTGGCATCCAGATTTATATCTGCAATACCGAATGCAAAGAAAAATGTTTACAATAAAGGGTTATTGAGCTCATCCACAGAAGGCACACAGTTGCTCCATCACAAACTCTATGTCTACGTCTGAGGGAAGTGACTAACCGTAAGTAAAAACATCTAAGATAAAGCTCTGTGAAATGGGAAAACATGGGTTTGATTCCTGGCAGGGCAAAACATTGGGAAAGTTTCCTTACTTCACATGCCTCTGTTTATCTAGCAGTAAGTAGGAACCCGGTTGTTAGTCGATTGGCAAATCGCTTTTCCGGGTGTAATCCGTAAAAAAAAAAATAATAAATTGGTCACTCAGTCCACGACTGTTTGTGGAACACTGCTGTGTGCAATTGGCTGCCACATGTTGCCCACAAAATATACAGTCAATTCCCTTTACAGTAAATTCTGTGAAGCACTTTGAGATGTCTCGTACACGCGATGAGGTGGTACATCAAATGCAAGGATTATTATTATTATCAGACAAGGGCTTGGAGGAGCACAACAGTGGAGAAAGGTGATGGGAGGAAAATGGCTTAACAATGCAGCACTCCCCCAGTACTACATTGGATTTTCAGCCTAGATTATGAGCGGAAGTACCAAATTGAACACACAATCTTAAATTAAGGGTGTGTATAGAGAAATTCAATGATTATAAAGTATTAGGTCTTTGAGTTCTGGCACTAGACAGGGTACTAAGGTACCACAATATTCAAAAAAAAAGGAGATTCTTTAAGGGAAAATTGTACGTTTTAGCCAAAAGCTATGTTCAAGCTGTGCTTTATTTTCCCAGTTTGCTTGCCCTACCAACTGCTGTGACAGAGGATGACTAGTCTGACTAAATGGATTAATATAACATTTATGACCACAATTAAAGAATTCATTAATTCATTTATTTAAATGAATTAATTTGTCTATTTAAGCGTTTCATTTAAATTTATTTAAATGAATTAATTTGTTATTTATTGATTCAAAACATGGTACACTAAAGGTTAAAAAAATATATATTTAGTGGAATTGTTTTGTTTGCTTGCTGTGAAATATTGAGTTATTATTCTAGCATATTTAATCACGCCTCCTTCAACAAATAGGCTGCAAGTTGTTTTCAGAGGTTAATTTTAGGATCAGTGTTTTACGGTCTTACAGTGAAGAGTTAATACTGACAACAAAAATGAAATCCAATTTATTCAGCAGGCAAATTCATCACAGGGCAAGTACACAATAGATGTTTCTACTTAGCTGGAATTTTTGAGAACACTGTTTAAATAGCTGTTTGCGATTATCTAACAAAAACGTTTGGGGGAAACTGTACATTTTTCATTGTAATTCATCTTCTGACATTATTTTGCAAGTGTATCTTGGACAAGTTTGTATAGTGTTAAAATGTATAATTAAAATACAAGTTCTGTGAAATACCCTTTCCTGAGTCAGGCTAACATAACAAGAGAGATGCTGGAATGTATGATTAAAAATACAGTTAAGAATATTCTGCAAGCTTTACAATTGCATTGAACATACAGTATGTAATAAGTAAATAGTACTCATTCAGTAATGTCTGTGCTAGAGTCTTCTAAATGTACCAAATTGCTTTTTACTTAGGAAGCCAGATCTCGTTTTGAAAAGAATCACTTGGGTGCACCAGCGTTATCAAACGCCGCTTGATCAATGCAACCACTCTGTCTTCTCCGCAAATCTCCCATCTTACTCCTACACAATGTTGTGTGTGGTATTCTATTCTCTTACTGGTCAGCATCCACTTCAACCACAAAAGGCTCTTTTACATCTATCTTGCCACTATTTGCTATCACACAGTCTTCAAGAGGTCTGTTTTCAGCATTTGTTTCCCGAAGTTCTACCATGTGCACCACAGACTAGAAAAGCAATGAGACAAATAGTTAGTTGTAGTTTTCTGGAAGATTTATTGATTTCATATTTTTCATTTTGCTGCCAAAATTCTACATGAACCAGCCATGAATCATTTGGTTTCTACTACTGATTACCGAATTCGGATAATTGTTCACAAGTTCAGATGAAGGTCACCTGTTCAATCTGATGAAAAATTAGGGATCATTCTTGTTTGTAATCCCCATTTATGCCTCATCTGTCAATGTACTTAGAGAGTCCAAGCTACAGGCATGCCAGTTATTACTTCTGTTGGATACATTGCAGTTGTGTTGCTGGAGTTTGGCTTTTTGCTTTTTTTGTTTGAATTAGCAAATATCTGTTAAATGATTCGTTTCCCAAGACCTTTAATATCAAGATTATGCTTCTATCCCTATTATCTTCCACATAACGACTGGATGAGATGCACTTTCCAAAACTGAGGGAATCTGTTCCTCTTAGTATTTACCCTCTCCCTCCTCCAGTTAGCACCCAAAAGGCCTGCTCTTAGCAAATCTTTTAAGAATTATATCCCTCTGTTCTCCTTATGAGGTTAATGATGTGACATTCTGTGCTGCTTCCCTACAAGGGAAAAGTTTACCTCACTGGGCTGAGAAATGGCACAATCAAAGTACAAAATTGCAATGTAACTGCACGTCATTCAGCTGGTAGTCAGATCAGCTAGCAGCTTTTTCCACAAACTGGCCACTTTGTTTTCTCTGGTTTTGCCTCTCCTAGGCAGAGGCTGAGTGCCAGCAGTAGGAGTGCTGTGCAAGCATACACTTTGTGGAGTTTGGAGGATTCTCCCGGAAGCTGACTTGATGTACCATGGGCCTTTTTCACTCTTTCCTGATGATGTAACTGATTCAAAACATTGACAAGAACTTTAAATAAGTAATTGTATGGAATTGGTGATGGGGGGGAGGGGGAGAGACCAGAATTGCCACTATGCAGCAATGTTCAAAGGAGCCTAGGATTATTCATCACCAGGGAAATTCCAAGTCGAGTCACCTCTCGCCATCTCCAGCGAAGGTCTACTTTTACCACTAGAATGTCTCACCACCTCACTGCTTGAGTATTCGGTCCCATGAGCAGTGAGACAGATTTAAGAAACATTCTGGCTGAGGGCATCCTGGGGTTTGATGGTAAAATTTTGTGAATGATGGCCTTTCAGTCAACATTGCATTTAAACTTCAAAATATCCATGTGCCCTTTGTCCCAGGACACTGTGATTGACCAAGAAGTAAAGTTTTCCCTAAGCTGATGCTCTTGAGATATACATCTTGAACAGGTTACATTTATAGACTCTGCTGCCATCCTTTACCCTGATAAATGTTTCCCTTGTCGGGCAGAATGATTGTATTTGAAGGAAGGGCTGGAGTGGATGCGAATTCGTTCTGCCTGGTGCGTGGATACAAAAGCAAGGCTTTTTCTTTGCATGTACAGCCTCAATTTCAAAGCGTATACTTTAGTTCCTATTCTTTACTTAATGGAGCTTCAAACTGAGATGCTGTGTGGAAAATACCACTGTGGTGCATTATGCACTGAAAGGACAAGGATGCTGTCGAGTTCTCCTTGCAGAAAGGCATTGCAGAGCTGATAATGGTGTCACCAGAACCAGGAATTATTTTGTTCTCAATGCACCCCAGATGTGTAAAATATCACAGCAGATGCCACGAGCAGCAACAAGGTAGCTACATCCTCAGTAATAGAGCCTTCAACCAGACACTTCACGCGATCTCTGACAGGTGATATTACCTGGAAATGTATCTTATAGCAAGCTTCTAGAATAAAACATTGAGGATATCTGTAGCAGAAGTCAAGACGGCCACTTTCTCTTGATGGACTATTGATTTCCTGGAAAGCTATGTTCCAGTATGCATTTTGATTTCCCTCCTGCCATTTCCTGTTACTACTCCAAGGATCATTCACAAGATGTGATTGCAAGAAATCACTGTGGAGAGTCAGATCTGACCCAACTCCCCCTTTCCTCTTTCTCTCTCTCTCGCTCTCTCTTTCCCTTTCTCTCTTTCTCGCTCTCTGCTCCCTTCTCCGAGCTTACATTTAATGAATTGGCTTTTGAGTGAAATAATCTACTGGTGAGAGGTTTTCTTATTTCCAGAAAGTCATTCCCCTAACCGAAACCTCATGGTGCTAACTAAAAAAGTTCTCCTGGAGCCATGATTTACCCCTACAACTTTTCAGTTGTGAAAGTCGGGTCGTCTCTTACCCACAAATCTTGCTTTCTAAAGGTCTTTTTCTCAACATAGGGCAGCTGTGCTTGATTAAAGGTGATTTAATCCCATTTTGTGGAAATGGGATTAAAACTCTAAAGCACTGCCACGATCTAACAAACTATCGGAGCAAGCATGATAGACCAGGTACCTTACTCTTGAACCTAGGTCATGATATGATATGCTGCGTGGCCATATGAACAGCTATTGTGAAAATAATCTATGTTTATACAAAAAAAATCTTTAACTGGATAATTAACTGTGTGTATTACCTTCCAAAACTGGAGATAGGTATGAAATCTCCACATCTTCCAGCCCATCTTGCCTTCCTTTACACATAACCTTAGTCATACATAGATTTCGTACATAGTCTTGCTCTTCCATCATTTATCCTGAATTTAACAAGACAGCATCTACCTGTTTCTGTTTTTACCCAGTCTTACTGACCCTCAGCACAACCTAGGCATAAAGATCGATCCTCAGCTGACTTTCTTACCCTGAATCTGGTCCCTGACCACATCTGGTCCACCTCTGCCACATCACCCACCTCCAACCATACCTCACATCTGACACAGGTGAACCCTTATCCACGCATTCGTCACCTCCCACCTCAATTTGTCAAATGCCCTCCTTGTCCGTCTCCCCAGCTCCACCATTCATAACATCCAATTACTGTTATTCAAAACTCCAGCATCGCTATTCTCACTCATACCAAACTCGGCACCCCCATCACCCCAGCCAGTTCTAGTCAAGCTCAACTGGTTCCCTATTGCAGAATGGATTAACTTCAAGATCCTCACACTCATGTACAAAGCACCTCCCCACCTTGCCCCCTCCTTGTCAGTCTTCAGATCCCAATAAAGACCTTCCTCTTCTACCGTGCCTGAAGCCCCCTCCTCTCTCTCCCTGGCCTGGCTTCAAACTCCACCACTGTTAAGTATTCCGAGACACTACCTTGTGTGATAACCTCGCTACATAAATGCAAGTTGTTGTTGTACTTAAATAAAATTTGTTCTGGAGAACACAATTGTAAACTGTAATCAGTCATGTAAAAAGAAATGCAAGTTACCATTCCAGCAATAACTTTTCCAAACACAACATGCTTCCCATCGAGCCAGGTTGGTTTGATCAATGTAATAAAAAATTGGGAACCATTGGTATCTGGTCCTGCATTAGCCATGCTGATCCAGCCAACTCCATAGTGTTTCAGCTTGAAGTTTTCATCTGGAAATGTCTTGCCGTAGATACTTTTCCCTAGAATATCAAAAATATTGTGCAAAGTGTCAGGTGCATTGGTGAGACACGATTGCACTTTAGTGCCAGACATTTGAGAAATCTAACTCTAAAAATATATAACTAACAAGCCAAGATTAACACTTCGGGATGCCCTCCCTGCATGAAAGGTGCTACATAAATGTAAATTTGTATCGCATCATTACTTGTCTCGCTGTTTTTAAGTCTCGCTTTAAAACCTACCTCTTCAACCATGCCTAAGGTCACCTCCCCTTTCCTCCCTCTCTTGCTCAGCATCTAACCCTGTCTTTGAAAGCCTCTTGAGAAGTTATCCTACATGAAGCACACTATATAAATGCCAAGTTCGCACACAAAATAAACAGTCACATAATTTTACTGTGAAGTGTTTTAAGCCGGCTCGACAATGTGAAAAGGCGCTATATCAAATACTAATGTTGTTATTACCTACAGTAACTTAAAACAATTAAACTTCATGGACAATAATTACCTCCTGTCCCATCTCCAATTGTAATATCTCCACCCTGTATTAAGAAATCCTTGATCACACGATGAAACTTGCTCCCTTTGTAACCAAATCCTCTCTGGAAAAATAAGAATGTTTGTTACTACAAACACTAAGGTATCTTTTAAGTAACTGCTTTAATTTTAGAAATGATCTGAATCTTGCTTGAGTGGAACATCCGCAGGGTCCAAAATACAATATATACTGAAAAGATTTTTTTTTAAATGCATGTTTGAGCTGTAGCTACCAGTCATAATACAATAGGCGTTTGTATATTAAACAATGTTTATGATATGAAGTTTGACAGACAGCTTTCAATGAGACGCTATGCATTCCGGGGCAGGGCGAAACGTTAGGCTTACTCCACACCCCTCTGTTTACCCAGCAATAAGTAGGAACCCGATTGTTAGTCAACTGGCAGATCGCTTTACTGGGGGTAATAATCCCTTTTTAATAAAATAAGAATATGGTCACTCAATCCATGACTGTTTGTGGGACGCTGCTGTTGTGTGCAATTGGATGCCGCATTTCGACCACAAAGTATATAGTCAATTCAGTTTATAGTATATTCTGTGAAGTGCTTTGAGACGTCTCGAAGACGTGATAACGCACTATGTCAAATGCAACGATTATTATTAAAAACTCAAGCAGTACCCCAATACACAATCTGAGGTCCCCAAGCCTTAGCTCTTGCCAACATGTGCCTAATACTCTGGTAGGAGGTAAGCAGGATGCATCCCTCTGGGGAGAGAGTGCACATTCCATTCCAAACACAGGAATTTTCATGCATAGATGGCATGCATGGAACACTTAATTTATTTTGGATATTTTCAAGCATAGTGATGGTTTTCTGCATTTCTCAGATACCAAGACAAATCTAAAAATAAGATAACAAAATTAACCCTGGAACTCTAATGAAGTGTGATGCTAGGTTTTGAATATATTGAGCAGCTGCTCTTTGGGGGATTTTCACCAGGGTTTCAGTAAAGTGAAATGATGCGGATGGACATTTTCATCCTGTGACCACTTAAACTGAAAAACACAGAGCAGTAAAATTGTAGATTTCTGTCCTTCCAAACGTGTCTGAAGAGAGCATTTTCAGCCCTATCACTCCTGGGTGAGGCAGTGCTGGGAGCAATTTGAGATGATAACAGAACCACAGGCTTAGGTATAAGTTGTTTTCCCCTATAGCATACTGGTACCAATAGGCTAATTAACACCTGTGACAACTGATTTAGTAAAGAAAATAGGGTTGGGTTTTCCTTATAACTGCCCTGTTGTAAACCTAGACTACTATTTATTTAGCTTACTACTGTAGAAAATGATGCACACTCCTCAAGTACATTACAATGGAAATGAGGTTTGCAGAGACACGCACCATCATCTTCATTCTGATCTTCCAAAAGGAGACTGAGCAACATAGTCAAGGATATTAGGGATGAGAAATTTCACTTCCACTAAATTTTGTTGCTTTGAGGATCTAGGCTGCTTGTGGTGTGTTCCGCATGGGTGGTGGTCCTAGCTGGACAAGCAGGAGGAAACTTGCCAGGCAGTGCTGCTAATAGCAAACACTTTAGCTGGTTAAACTCCAACAGTACTCCAACGCATATTCTGGGGGAGGAGGCCAGCCTTGGCCCTTGCTAACCTGCGCCTAATATTTTCCAGAATTAGGTAAGAAGGATGTGTCCCACTAGGGAGAATGCATATTCCATTCCAGACACATCATTTTCCATGTGTATGTGGCTTTCATATGTGGCACTCCCAGTCATGGTTGCTTGTAGGTGATGTGTTTCCACGTGTGTCAAATGCCCAGCAGACCAAAAAATAACTAGTTTAGCAGTTTTGAGGATCTGCTCTTATTCAGATGTGTTCCCCATTGATGGGGAGGAATTCCACCTGGGTCTAGACTTACTAAGATTTTAGTGTAAAAAATTACAAAAAAGACTTACTAAGATTTTAGTGTAAAAAAATTGGCAAATTAATGTATTCAGTATTTGAAGTCTGTTTTCTTATAAAACATATAATAAAATATAAAACATACAGAAACTGTCAAAAACTAAAGCTGTATTTAAAAGTTTGCCAAATTTTAAAGGCTCTGAAATTCTACATAAATAGTGCAAATCTAGATCCAGGTGAAATGTCTCCCCTATAAGCTTACATTGCCAAAGTTACTGGATGTAGATGGAGGTAGGAGCTAAATTCCTTCAAGATAGAGGTAGATAAATATTTGTTAGGTCAGGGTATTAAGGGATACGGGGCAAGGGAGAGTAACTGGACTTGAGGTATAGATCAACCATGATCTTATAAAATGGCGGAACAGGCTCGAGGGGCTGAATAGCCTACTCCTGTTTCTATGTCTATGCACCTACACTTAGAGTTAAGATGAATTTCATTCCCTTCTGTCTCTCACTTGAAGTTTTCAGTTCATCATTACCGGATTTGAGGAAACAAAGAGGGGAATGAACGTTGTATCAACAATGATCTGACCTTAGACAAGTGTCTTCAGCCTTCTTTGTAAGCATGATACAATGTTTGACTAAATGTGCTAGAGACATCTAGTGGCACAATATCAATACTGCAGTAACCTTTACTTTTATTTTATTGACAGGCTGTTCAGTTTGGACACCTTTTGATCCAGTCTAATTGGGAATGTCAACCATTTATTGGATACTCGAACATACGATTAGATCTGATACTGGCGAAATTAGACTGTCTGATGGAAAAAATCATGTAGAAAAATAAATGATACTGAAGGTTAAACATATGGAGACATTGATTAATAAAATATGTAAAACAAATAATGAATCCATTTAAAAGAAACATTAAAGGACACATGCTTAAACAAAATGTTTCTAAAAATAGACTGATTATCAAAACAATATATTTTAACCACACAAAGAATGGTGTAATATTTTACTGTATGAAGATTTATGCCACTATCTTCAGACATTTGCGGGTAAAAATTCCACTTGTGTTTAGATTCATTCTTTGTTTTAGCATTTTCTGAGTTTGTCAGAATTTGACAAATTCTTGAATACAGACTTAATTTTAAACGGTTTTAAGTTCTTTTGAGAACTACAGAAAAGTGGCATCAAAGACTGAAGTCAATAATTTAGCAAATTCATAGCACTCTGAGATGTTGAGAAAATAGTGTGAATCCAGACACCTCTGGTGGAATATATCCCCATTAATCTGAACCAAAGAATTTTTGGGAACATAAAAAATTCTACGGGTCTAACATGTTTCTTTTGCTGTAATTGATCATAACCCCACCAAACTACCTTCTCACCATATCTCCCAGTTTTGTTTCATATTCCTTGGCTAGAGCTACAATATGAGAAATTATTTTTCACACTTTCCACAAGTACCCATAAAATACCATTCCTAGTAACCATACTCAACTAAGACTCAAAGTAAGGCCTTTGGATTTTAAACATATACAATTCCGCCTGTATACAGCTTGTCAAACTGCCTTTTTTGGTAGTATTCATTACACCCCACCCCGCCACCCTCAAAAAAAATCAGGACTTTTGAATTATTAGTCAAGGCTGATATTCCAGTCTGCTAGGTAAACAGAGCTATATGCAGTAAGGAAACTTGCCTAAGGTTTCACCCAGGCCGGGTATTAAACTTGCGAAGCGAGTGCATTATTCACTACACTACGGCACTCCATGTAAAGATAAACTCCCTATAAAGTCTAAGAGATATTATTCAGACACAACTTTAAATTAACTGTTCACAAGCATCCTAATTATTTGTACAGAATGCAGTGGAATATCAGAGAGCTCAGAGGCTACATGTATATAAAGAGGGTGAAGGATTACCTCCCTCACAGATTATTCAGTAATCCTAGCCTATCCATGAGACACACGAAAGAATCCCAAGATTAAAGTACCTTCTACAGGATAACTCTTCTTTCAAGTGGATACAGTTGTGTTTAGTCTCAGGTCCCTTTGTCCAACACCACGACTCACAGAACACTTATGATGCACCTCATAATATATTCACTTAAATGTACATTGTATACTGGTACCATTTTGAGACACTGGGGTCTATTGTGCATCATGGGTAAACCATGTGTTAACATGTGTATAGTGCGACTTATGTAAAGAATGTGTAAGTGGATTTGTACAGAGGAAATTACAGGTACTGTTAATTATGTAATTAACAATTATTTTCATTGGATTATTATGGAATTAAGGGTGCCTATAATTCCCTCTGTACACATGGTTTACAAATGATTTACACATGGAGCATAAAACACATACCTCATGAGGTACTTAATGGACCTAGGTGTAAAAATGTTTTTAAATAATTTACAACCATTTTACAAATTTCTGCTGGCTAAATGATCCACAGCGAGATAATTAACAGAATTACAGAGATTAGGGGAAATGGAAAGCATCTTACCTCACCAGTTGCTAGAATAATAAAGTTTTCTACAGTCTTTGGAACAACTCGACCAAATAAACCGATGATAATTCTTCCGACATCTTTATCACCGATTTGAATATCGAAGAATACCTAGAAACAAAGGAAACTTCCATTAGTGCAGAAGCTCAATAAACATTTTTTTGCTGCTGGTGTACTGAACAGGAGGTGACATAAGTATACAACAGATAATGGCTTTAATGTGCAGCTGAAGGGGACACTAGAATTCAATAGAATTTTACATTTATATAGTGCCTTTCACATCAGGAGGACATCCCATGGCGCTTAACAGTCCTGGCTTGACATCTGAGGTGAGGGTGGGAATCAAGGGAGTTGGACAACAAATCTTCACAAACTCCCAAACATTCCTAATACACGGATTGTAAGGTTGTAAATGTTCAGGTAAAAAGACAAAGTAAAACAAACAACTAAAACGTGTACAGTAAACCACTGATAACTCGATCCAGGCTTAACTTGTTACTACCACTTAAGTCATCGTGCTGTCAAGATCTCGGTCACATTTATTTATGCATTTCATACAGATGCCCAATTTGCGACTCCGGATAGCTCCTCACTGAGCCCTTTTCCCTCAGCGTGACAAGTTGGCAGAAGTTTACTGTATCTCGTTACACAAAAATCCTGTGGTTTGTAGGAAATAAACCACTATATTGCACCAGCTGCATAACTCCACGGGCATGAGTGATCTGCACTGCCCTATAACACCAAACATCACTAGCTGTGAGGTGCATTCTATTTATGCAATTATTTTTTCAAGTATTCATTTTCTGTTCACTACTTCATGGCCTGTTCCATGTCCCCCATCCAGCCCGCCCCACCATCGACGGTCAGGCCTTCAATCTTTCTGCCCCCACCCTATGAAACTCCATCCCACATTCCCTTCTTGCCTCCTTCAAGACCCTCAAAACCCTCCTCTTCAGTACCACTACCACAATTATTTGGAAACCAACATCTACATCTGTAAAAATCCTTTGATCCCTTCAAAATTAACCAACTAATAATTTCTGCTTGACTCTTTATGTGGCGGGCTTTGGAAGACTTCTTGTCTAAGTTTTGAAAGGGTGGTTGCATTAGTGTGTGTTTAATGAAGTCAAGAAGTGTAGAATTTTTCCTAAATCCTACTTAAAAAGATCAAAAAGATACCACAAGTACAGGTCAAAATGTCAAAAATATTTCAGAACTATAATTAGCTCCACTGGACCATGTTGCTCTAGATTTGATATATAATGAAAATGTTCATGTTCACTTTCTTTAAAATAGTCACATAGTTGATAATTATTGGTCATGCTTGTCTGTGGAGACTGTTCACCACTAAATGCACATCCAACTGGTTGAACAGCCATACTTTTTCAATCTGCAGAGCTTGGGAGAGGTCAGAACTATAAGCAGTTCTTTTAATCATCCTTCAGATGAGACACTAAATTGAGGCTCCATTTATCTTGTTTAGGTGGGTGTTAAAAGATCCCACAACACCATTCAAAAAGAAAAGGGAGTTTTGCCTAGTGTCCTGTTCAACAATCGCCCAAATAAAAAAAATTGGTCAATCACTTCATTCATGTTTGTGGGTTATTGCTGTGTGCCAGTTGGTTGTCAGATTCAATCACAAGTCAGTCACTGCACTTTACAGTATATCCTGTAAAACACTTCGGGATGTCCTCCTGGAGTGAAAGACACTATATCAAATGGAAGTATTATTATTATTAATTCCATGGATTATGTACTATGTTGTATTGTAATTCATAACCCTTTCAATCCCCATAGGGTACATTCTGTTATCTCCTTTGAACTTTGGAGGCACATAAAATAGGAATGATAGAAAAGGAGTAGATCCTGCTCTATCCATATATGATCTAAGAACTATTGAAATCTCGTAACTATAATCAAATTTAGAGAAGAAAGACCACAAATTAGCATACGACTGACCAGTTAGGTTAACAGGTTTGCTCAGAGGGGTTGTAAAAACACTGAAGCCATAAAGTACTCTGGCCAAACTGAATGTTGTACATGACATACATCTCTGGGTGCTGCAACAAAAGTAGACCACCTGGGCCTAGAAGTGATGCGCAAGGGAGCAATAAGACTGGTACCCTGTTTTAGAGGGATCGGCTATGAGGAATGATGAGCGCACGTGTCTGAGAGAGGACATTATTGGAGGTATTTAATATGTTTAACATAATAGAGTAAGTAAACAAATTCAGGGTAAGTGTGAAAGGCAAGTTTAGGACTGACGCCAAGAAGTGTTTCTTTGCACAGGTGGTTATCAACCATTGGAATTGGTTACTGGACTCACTTACAAAACAGTTGATGCTATAATAGGCAGCCGATAGGACTGATATTCTGAAGCAATGAGATAAAATAGGCCAAAGCAATTTTTTCCCAAGATTAGTAATAGTAATAATAATCCTTGCATTTGCTATAACACCTTACCACTTCGTCGAGATGTTTCATACACTTCATAGAATAAATACTGTAGGGTGGATTGAATGTGTATTATGTGGGCGAACACTCTTGCTGAAGCCTATTCAGCTCTCACACTTGGATTCAGATTGCACCAGAATTATGGAAAGTGATACAAGTCTGATAATGATCATCATATCCTCAAAATGTAAGTTTTTGTGGATTGGAGGAGCGCAGTCCTAATTTCGGAAACCTTTGGACACGCGTAACAACACACCGCTTCACCCTGGCATGGTGCGTAAGTTTAGCAATTCTGACATATTTCTGTGATTTGAAGCTTTTTCTGTGTGTGATTGTACCACGCAAAAGAAAAAAGTTGCTCGCCGGACACCTGTTCTGTGAAAATAGTTTTCGTTGCTTTAAAAGCTCCTCACTTTTCTTCCCCTCTCTCAAACGTTCAAATGAGCACGTTGTTTAAATCACGCTCCTGAATCTCGAATTGTAAAATCAACCTGGAGTTTGGCTCAAGTCTTCAAAGATTCAAAACCTGGCCCGAATCTGTCGCTGAATCCTGTTGGCTCTGGTCATACTTTCCCCTGGTTACAGCAAGAAAGGTTTCCTCTGATCCAAGTGGAAATGAAGATTAAGAGTAAACAGTAATACGTGGCAAACATCAGGGGTCACACCACCACATAATTACACCAGATGAGGAGGAGAGCTGGACAGAGCTCCCCTCCTTTACGCACGTCTCACGCAAAACTTTTAGGATCTTAAAACATAAAAGGGGGAGAGGGAGGGGGAGGGCTAAGATTGTCTCCCACTGAGGGGTTCAGGGTAGTGCAATAGAGCCAAAGGAGAGGCAAAGTGGGGTGGGATGGGGGGGGAAGGGGGACAAGCGGTGCAGCTGTTACTGGGAGTCGGGATAATGATTGATGAGTGTCAGTCAGTCTCTCAGAGGCTGCAGTGCAGGCGGTGGGGAGGGGGGGGGGGGCTGTCCTGCTCTGCCTCCCTGTGCCCTGGGCTCCCCTCCTCTCCCCTCCCCTCCCCTCCTGTCCCCTCTCTTGGCTGCGGCAGAAGGCGCACACTCACCTTTGCTGTGACCCTCGCCCCCCTCCTCTTCCCGGCCGCCGCGCACACGGCTGTGTCCGGAAAGAGAGCCGCGGATGTCACAGCGATCAGGAAGGAGAGCAGCTGTGTCCTCATGTTGGCTGCAGCAGCGGGAGGTACTGCACTGATCTCACAGCACAGAGCAGAGCAGCACAGAGCAGAGCAACACACAGCAGCACAGCACAGAGCAACACAGAGCAGAGTAGCACAGCACCAGCGCAGCACAGAGCAGCACAGCACAGAGCAACACACAGCAGCACAGCACAGAGCAGAGCAGCACAGAGCAGCACAGCAACACACAGCAGCACAGAGCAGAGCAATACACAGCAGAGCAGAGCAGCACAGAGCAGAGCAACTACACACACACACACACACAGTGAGGGCAGTCCAACCCCAACCCAACCCCGACCCCGCCTCCACACAGGGAAAACAGCACAAACATGGCACAACTCCCAGAAATCTGCTCCACCCACCCCCTCAACCAGAGGAAGGATGTGTTCGCAACTGCGTTTCCACCTCGGAGATCATCTCATGCTTTTTTTTTGGGGTCGACTTGGGGGGTGGGAGGGGGAGAGGTGAGGGGTGGGGGGGGGGGGGGGGTTGGAGGAAAAAGTTGTGTTCCCATCAGTGCAGCAGTGAAATGTCTCTTCCTTTTTTGGGCTGAATCACAGTCATGCATTTCACCCCAATGATTCACTGCTGTGGTTTCACTTTGCCCAAGAATAACACTTTGGGAAAATGAGGCGGATTAACAAAACAAGTTCTGTTATGTTTTGCTGCCATTTCCTCAGCTAATGTTTATTTGACTGTAAGTCACTGTGGAAGGAACCTTCTCGAAACATAGGACTGAATCACCCTGGACCCCAAAATAGAGTTGAGTCGAATCTTCTAGATGTCTCAAAGCGCTTCACAGAATAAATGTGGCGTATACCCAAACTGTGTACTCTGTAATGATTTATACTTGAGCGTGCATCTGATACGCCCCCAGCTGTACACGAAAAACACCTTTTAACATAATAAATATTAATCAGTGCATTTGACATTGTGCCTTGTCCTGTAAGTCCTGTAGCTCAGTGGTTAGAGCACTCGCTTTGCAAGTGAGAGACCTGAGTTCAAGTCCAGGCAGGGCGAGACCTTGGGCAAGTTTCCTTACTCCACACGCCTAATAATAATCCCTCCAAAACCAAAAACAATAATAAATTGGTCATTTTCAATCTACGACTGTTTGTGGGACATTGCTGTGCGCAATTGGCTGCCGCGTTCGCCCACAAATATACAGTCAATTCACTTTACAGTGTGTTCTGTGAAGCACTTTGGGACGTCCTCCCGACGTGAAAAGCGCTATATCAAATGCAAGGATTATTATTATTATTATTATTATTATGAAAACATTTCAAAGTGCCTTCCAGAGATCTTCTGTCAAATGTAGTGAATGTGTGTTTCGAGGAGAATGCAACACCCAATTTGCCCACAGCAATGTCCCACAAACAGCTTTGAGGTGAATGATCTTTGTTTTCACACTGTGGCATTGTTGGCCAGCCCACCGGGAGAAACTCCTTTCATTTTGAATAGTGCTAGGGAATCTTTGATGGCCACCCGAACAGGCATACATACATAGGGTAGAAAGCAATGGCGGCTGATGACCTTTGTGACAGGTGAGGCAATCTATGCGTTTGCCTAAACAAGTTACCTTGTTCGCATAGCAACTGTCCCTTCGCGCACGTGCAATATCTTTAGTTGCTGGTCAAACTTTCCCTCTCTCACCCACCCACTTGCTCACTGGTCTACTGGTCCCATGTTGGGACTCGCTCTCTGGTTGGGCCCATTTTCCCGAGCTCTTGATAGGCCCGCTGGTCTCAGCTCCTGCAATGGTCTCACAATGCTTGCTGTGAGATCTAAAATATAGTAGTAAGAATCCTTGCATTTCACATAGTGCCTTATCACATCATTGAGATGCATCAAAGTGCTTCACAGAATATATTGTAAAGCGTGTGTATCTTGTGAGCCAAACATGGCAGCCAATTGTGCACAGCAGTGTCCCACAAACAGTCGTGGAATGAATGTCCACATTTTTTTTGGAGGGATTAGTACCCTAATCGACTAACAGCCAGGTTCCGATTTACAGCTAGGTAAACAGAGGTGTGTGCAGCAAGGAAACTTACCTAAGGACTCTAGGTGAGGTACAGTGTCTTGCTTATCTGACAAGCCATCACTGGAAAAATCTAAGAGATACAAAAAAAAAAAGGTCATTTCCATATTTCTAGCAAATCAGGTTGGTAAAGCAGAACACAATTAATGGTTGTTTGTGCTATCTTAGATTCACTCAAATATTAAAATATGATGAAAATGGATGAAATTTAAGCATTCTGAGAAAAACGTGAAAAATGTGAAAAACACTACAAAAATGCAAGTTGTTGCTGTTGAAATTAACAGTCAAAACTACTTTATATCCTGTGAAGCACTTTGAGGCATCTCGACAACATAAGTAGTATAACAAAAACAAGTATTACTATTATTAATAAATTCATTGAAATATATAAGATTTCATCTTGTACATATGAACAGAAAAAACAGAAAAATGAGAGGATAATTCAACTTGAAAGTCAATGGTATAATCTAGGGGTTGTTCAGGGTTCACTTCGTGTAGTGACTGAATAAAGACTGTGTTTGTTCTCAGACTCCTTCTGTATTGTGAATTAGGCCAACTATGGCGAGTGAAAAGGTGGGATCTGGGTCGCTGGGCTAACAAATTGGTTCAGGTGCTTCCCTTTGGTCACTGACTTGGGAAAAAAATCTCCATATGGGAAAATTGTAACTTTCAGGGATAAAACACTAAGTCATTTAAAAATAAAAGAATACTGAATAAACCCACGGGCCTTAGGAAAAACAATAAATGTGCAGTAGTATTGTATAACGTGAAAAGCATTAGCAGACTCGCTATTTGGGAGACACGAGCAGAAGAGGGTCTGAATATGTAAATGAAATGTTCAAACCGAGGTTGATGGATACCATGTCTGGAAACATTTGCTCTGACATTATATTAAAGTGGTGGTTAATAACAGTTTGCTATCCCCTTATGCTCGGATTTTGCTCTGCATTAATTCACCATTTCCCACAGATGCTGACAGAGAAATGGGGATTGAGTTGCTGCTGTTTAACGAAAGTTCCAACATTAGAAATGTGAGGTGGTTAGGATGGCTAACCTTGTTATAGTCAGGGTTAGCCTATTCCAATTCTTGGTCAACGAGGGAGAACAAGCATCTAAACACATTCTGTCACCCCAGCCCAAAGCTTTTCCGTCTGTATCATCTAGTTTCTGGGACAAACCATTTTAAAACACTATTTTAGCAGCTGTGGTTGAAGGTGTCACCACTATAACGTTGCATAAGTAACTCACTAGAAGTAACTGATATGTGGTTACCGACACACAACACATCTGACATTGAGATTAAGTTTATCACCGCAACAGTTTATTGAGAAACAACGTGAACGTCTTAACATATTGGAGATGTTCATTCACCTGTGAATATTCCAGTCTAATATACTTGTAATAAGGACACCATTGCTCACTAGAATTTTTTTTAAAAAAGTCAAAAACAGTTGGCGAGACATGTCCTTCGAGGAAATAATACATACATCAAATGATCTATTACTTCTACTCAAGTTAATCGATACCTCAGATTTTATACAAAGTAGAAACTGACTGCTAGTTAACGTGCATTATATGTGCTAAATTTTTGCAACGAGTAAAAAAACGATTCTAGGGTAACATACATGATATACTAACACTTCATTTTACGTGTAGGGCAAATCCCACACACAGTTTCCAAACCAGCAAAGCGTATGTGAATTAGTAAAGTTGTGTATTATACCAAATCATATCAGATATCAAAGATCTTGTATTTGCTCACAAATACACAGTCACTACATTTGACAGCATTGTGCAATGCTTTGAGACATCTCCAAGGGATAGGCACGGTATCAAATGGAAGAATTAGTTTATTCATTATCCTTAAACCTTTGCTGGTGGTGGGGGGGGGGGGGGGGGGGGGTACTCGCTAAAATAGCGAGAAAAGTACTACAAAAGTGACCCTTCTTCTATAATCATAAATCCCAAACTAACACATCGGCGGGGACTAGACATGTGTCTTCCATGATTCCACCCCATCGTGTGCTCTATCTCTTCACTCTGTTGACATGTTTAGGAAAAGTCTTCTGCACCAGCCTGTACCCCAGGCACCAACACCTCCAAACTGGGGGCTGCGACATCAAACATCCTCATAGGTGATACACACCTTAAATACTCGCCACAGAGGTGAGAATACTGCAGCGAGTACAGACTCTGTGGTGTTACCCCGTGTAACCTGCTTTACTTTACCAGTGGCTCAACCATCTCAGAAAACCATTCGGTTATTACCAGACTATACTGTACTTACTGTACCTCTGAAGTACCCAATTGCTTCACCAATTGCCGTGAAAACTACATGACATTGTGTGCAAATGCCAGCAACATGGAGTTAAATTCAATATCAAAAATGTGGAAGATAAGGAGTGGAACAGACCCTCTCCACCTGACCAACCCCCTCTACCTCTCACACACACCATCCATTACATTATTGGTGAAAGGGGGACGTCCCATCTCACACCGAAACAAAGTCAAATCATTATCATACCTGCTGGTTAAAGGTATGAAATCACAGCGATTCATTCCTCAGATATATATGGTGTTAATTGCAATTAATTTCATGCAGTGGCTTGAACTCGGGTCAAGTATCGTTCTTTGCTGATACAAATATTATTTTGATGGATGTGACAATCATCAGGATCAGTTCATAGTTGGGTGGATGAGGCTGAATGAAGCTCCGAAGTTATTTGTACATTTCTAGCTATATATATCTCAGCAATGTGCAGTGAAATATTCACGCTCTGTCCTGAATCAAAACAAGTTCACGCCATGTGCTCAATCGCTTTGGTTCAATATCTAAAAACTGTATTAAAAACAATCATAAATTATGCAAATACAATTCGCGAAAAAAAAGGGAGGGTGGAGGGGGAGTGACTGGGCTTCAGTTCAGTTCAAAAAAAAAGGTTAGAAAACAAATCTGTTTATTCTGGCGTTGCAGAAAGTAGAAACAAGAAAGTGAGAAAAACATTCCGGTTGATGCATTTCTGGGCATTCATTTCAGAGGAGTGTTTGCAGATAAATAATTCATCTCGAGTCAAATAGGATGGATGTTCAGCAGACAACTAGCTACACTATATTTAGGTGATATAGAGGCAACATAAAAACTACAGTACTGATGTTACCCAGATTTACTGAGTGGACTCCGAGCCCTGTGTTCGCTCTCACTGGCAAACCTCAAGTCTATTCTTAAA